CAGGGGGGATGGTCACGCCGCAATCCCTTCTCCTCCATTCTCCTTCTCGGGATCTTGGGCACGCATGCACACGCGCCCGGTGTGAGTTTTAAGCCACCGGGTCCGGGACACGAACCGCGGTCGATGACGTGGGAGTCCAGCGACACAACCATTATGCTAACTGCTGGTTCCCCTAAGTCATAGTTTTGAGACTGCTCCCTGAATTCAGGGAGAGCCATTTAATCTACGAATCTTCATTTATTCTTTTCTTCTTATTATGCTGCAGAATTGAGCTTCAGGCTTGAGACAAGATGAAAAAAAAAGAGCTGACAGTATCCTACATCAACTTCTTCAGTGTCAGTGAAGCTGAGGAAGCAGCAGCTGAAAAGCTGTACTCATTTGACCACATACGTAAGTGCTAAAGCAAGGATGCTAGAAGATAAATCTTCTTGTGGTAAAGGACAACTCAAATGTATATATAAGCCTTACTACCTGGAATTTTTTAGGCACCTTTTCTAGGAGTAAGCCAAGCATAGGTTTTATAGCTTACAATCTTTTCCATGCCAGTTCATTTATAAAATAAGTATTGCTTAATCCTTAGGATAGCAGTATGGGATTATGAACAGAGTATGGGAATTTGCTCCAGAAAAAACCCAAGCTATAGTCCTGACTCTACCATTTACTAGATATTTGAGTTTAAGGGAGTTGCTCAATTTTATCATCTGTAAAGTGGGAATTTTTATACCTATCAAGTAGGATTGTTATGAGGATTAAACAAAATAAGATAGGTAAAGTTATTGGCATATAGTAGACACACAACAAACATTAGTTTCCATCCCCTTGGCACTTTATAGGTTAAAGTAGTGTGGAGATTTTCAGATATTGTGACTTGGCATAGAAATTAGTTTCATTATTAAAAACTTACCACTGGTTCTGCGAAAATGGAAAGTATGGAGATTTGGCAATATAAAATTAGTTAATATCATTATTTGTTAGGTAGGTATTGACTGGCTGGTGATAAGATGGTGAAACTAGCTCCAGATGTAAGGCTTACTTAGGATGAGGCTAACTGAACATTTTGGTATAACTGATAAGCCACACACCTCTACCTTTAAGGGACAATTATACTTTTCTTAAGTGTTGGTTAGGATACCAGAAAACAAAGGGTTAAAGAGGGCCTGTAGAATTTCTGTGTAGCATTCACCAGCCCAAAACAAAATAAAAACAAAGATAAAAAGTAGCAAGTTGGGGAGCTGGCAGGTGTGGTTAAAGGTGCTGGATTCCCTCATGACCAAATGGTGGTTCGAGTGCCAGACCTGGCAGCTTGCTTTCTCACTTTCCCTTTCTCTCTGTGTCTCTATCTAGTCAAATTAAATAATAATAATAACAAATGGAAATAAATAAATAAATAATTCTTTTTTAAAAAGTTGCAAGCTGGAGGAGAATTTAAGGTACATATTTTCCACTGAACAAAGGGTCTAACAACAACAACAAAGGATAAAAGGGGACCTGGAGAAGGAGACCAGGTTGGCTTGCCTCCATTGGCACTGGCCCCCCTGCTCTGTTTTGTCTTTGGAATGTACCTGTCTTTTTCTCTCAACAAACCTTGTGCTTAGCTTATTTCCCTGTCCTTCAATTTTCTGCTGTGACAGGGAAGCACAGACCACGTATTTCTCAACTTTGTTCCATACACAAATATACTCTTAAATTACCTTAAAGACTTCTGCATCATATGCGTAGGTTAGGGCAAAGGTCACAACAAAATTTATCTCTAAGTACAGGTGCTGTATCCCTCATTATTTCATCACATAAACTTTGCTATTTTTCTCTGTCATCCACTGATTGTTCTAGTTTTTTATGTTTTGTTTTGTTTTGTTTTTGATATTTGTTTGTTTGTTTGTTATGGCCAAGAACTTATTTTTGTCCTGGAGATATACTTGCACGTGTGTAGAAAGGTATATGGACAAGACTATTGAATGCAGCATTGTTGCAACGATGAATACAAACTACAAAATAAACAACAATCAAAAGAGGATGATTAAATTAATGGGATATGAGAAGAATACCCCACCATTGCTCCTGAGAACTAGTGATTTCAGAGGAAAAAAGAGAAATGAAGGTTTTTCTACTGATAATTAAACTTCCAGCCCACAAACTCGAGTGAAGAGGCAAGGGGAAGGCCTTCAGATGAAGACTCCAACATTGCTCCTGAGAACTAGTGATTTCGTGCAGTGCACTAGTGCATCACGCGTTTTTTTTTGCTTTTGCTTTCTCTCTTTTTTTTTCCTTCTTTTTTTTTCTTTTATCTCATCACTCTGCTCCTCAATCTCCATTTACTATGTTTTTAAATGGATCTAAGGGCACCATAGCCAAACATCCAAATACTATTAGGGTGAACATATTCCTCAATACCCACTGAATCTGTTGCACAAAGGGATAAAAATGGTATGGCAAAGAGATTCCAGATCACTTCCTTCTGCAAGTTCCTGAACACTCAGATTGAACTTCAAGAACTGGAGGAAACACATCATCCATCAGGTGACTAGAAATCACCACAAGGTCACAAGAAATATGGGAAAGCAAGAAAACACCTCTCCTCCAAGGGAAAAGAATAACTCCTCTTCATCCATAGCCAGTTCAATGGAAATCATGCCAATATCTGATAAAGAATGTAGAATATTCATAATGACAAAGTTAACAGAGATCAAAGAGAAGAGAGACAATGAACTGCAGAAGAGGCAGGAGAAAGTGGCTGATGAGTTCCAGGAGGTGAGGAAATTCTTGCAAGATCTAAGAGGAAATACACACTCTAAATAAGAATCAAATGGACCTGTTAGCGATGAAGGCTATAATACAGGAAGTCAAAATCTCCCTTGAAAGTATAAAAAGCAGACTAGATCACACAGAAAATCGAATCTCAGGTGTAGAAGATAAAATTGCTAGCCTAGAAAAATCCACCACAAAGACTGAGAAAACTGCCCCCAAAAAGTGAGAATAATATTCAAGAAATACTAGATACCATCAAATGTCCAAACATCCATATAATTGGCATTCCAGGTGGCAAAGAGACTCATAAGGCCATTGATAATCTATCTCACGAAATCCTGCAAGAAAACTTTCCAAACCTAGAGAGGGACTCAAAGATTCAGTACCAAGAAATACAAAGGACCCAAATAAAATCAACCCAAGAAGATCTTCTCCAAGACACATTATAGCCAGATTGACCAAAACCATAGACAAAGACAAGATACTAAGATCAGCAAGAGAAAAATGGCAAGTTATCATAAAGGATATCTCTAAAAAAAAGAGGATATCTCATCAGACTAACAGCGGATCTTTCATCAGAAACAATGTGAGTGAGGAAAGAATGGGAAAATATATTCAAAGAGATAAGGGAAAAGCAATTTCAACCAAGAATACTGTACCTGGCAAGATTATCCTTCATATGGGAAGAAAAGACAAGAACATTTTCAGATAAACAAAACCTGAAAGAATTTACTAACACCAGACTAGATCTCCAAGTTCTCAAAGGAGTGCTATGCCAGGAAAATTAAATAAAGACATAGAAATAAGAGTTCAAAAACTAAGAAAATGGCCAATTTAATCATAGGGACAAGTCTAGAGTTGAATATTATATCCCAGAATTTAATCTGGAAGATCGAACTACAACAAAAGATAAAGTACATGAGACTGAACTGGTGAAATAGCACTTTATGACTTTTGACTAAAACATAGCTGATTTTCTTCTAGGCTTTGTTTTCCAGTTTTAAGCATTTTTGTCCTGTCTTGAGCTGTTGATAGGTAACGTACCTACTATTTTAAGAAATTTTGTGATCAATAAAATGTGGGGGAAAGGAATGGAAAACAACTGTAGACACCAGAAATAGTGTGAGAGGAGGGTGGGAAAGGGCAGAGGGTCAGAAATAGGGGTAAAATTATATATACATATATACATTATACATATAATTACATGAGATAAAGATACATATATACACATTATAATGTGTATATTATATACATTATATAATTATATATGCACACATATATACACATATATGTATATATAATTTTACCCCTATTTCTGACCCTCTGTGTGTATATATATGTGTGTGTGTGTGTGTGTGTGTGTGTATATGAAAATATAAGAAGCTAGAAATATATATATGAAATATATATATGAAGCTAGAGATCATAAATTATTGGCAATAACATGCATGATTAAGCCACTATGCAGTATATTCTGGATGGGAAATCACATTTTGTATGGTGTGACAATGCTCAGGGAATTAATGTAATTAAGAATTAATTACATTAATTAATTAATTAAGAATGAATGTAATTAAGAAAAAATGTTTCAAAAAAAAGCTCATGGAAATACATGTAATGGGAAAACTATGTATTTCAAAAAGTTTTTGTATCAAAATAAATTCATACTTTAATTGTAAAAAATAAGAAAGAAAATAAACAAAAAAAATTAATGAAATACTATACACTATAAAATAATGATGATCTTTATGTATGAATGTGAGATAAGTTTTACCATCTTAGATGAAAAAAGCACGGGGCCAAATCATGTAGAGTATGCTATTGTTTATAAACACATAAAGGGTTTCATACACATACACAAATACAGGCTTACATGTACATAGACATGCATCTGAAATTATCCCTAAAGAACTGATTATACTGATTGCCTCTGGAAGAACTGGGTTTCAGAGTTCAGATCATTTTTTCCCTATATATTCTTCTGTGCTATCTGGTTTGTTTTACCCATGTACATGAATTACTTCTATAAAATAAAATTTCAAATGGTGATTTTTTTTCTTTAATTAAAAGATAATGCATGTTCATTGTAGGATGTGTAAATTCTCATGCTCCTCTCATGGTTTTTTTTTTTTTTTTTTTGTGCCATTTTCTTTTTGGCACTATATATTGGGTTGTTGGAAAAATCATGATGCATTCTTGCATAGAACAAACATAGGAAAATATGTCATGTCTTTTCTGATGACCTAATACTTTTCTTTGGGTCTCTGCTGCTTTGTTTATCCTATGTAGGAGGGATTCCTCTCAACTTTTCCAAATGGCCAACCTTCAGCTTTTAGTCAAATTTTTCTCTTTTTACTTCTACATGTAAGTAGGGACAACATCTTTTTCATAAGAATCTAAGGTTATAGTTCAAGAAAATATATTGCACACTTGTCATATATACGGCACTATAGGAACCTCAGAGAGTATACTAATGATTTGTCCTTAACCATACCTGTACAGAGCCCATGGGATGACATGTCTTACAAGCCAGACCTTCCTCTCTACTCTTTGCCCTGGGTATTCATTTCACAACCTGCTGTCACTACCATGTTTTAAAGAGAGACCAACCAGATCCCTTTGTTCCTTCTAAAGTCTCTTCATAA